TATAGAGAGTTTGTAATCCCACTGCCCTCAGTCATTAAATTGGATCCTTAAATGGGTATAGGATAGGTGTGCAAACAATGTTTAGAACAGGTCATCCTCACCCAGTGCCTTGAGTGATCAGGGCATTTGCATTTGAAAATACTTGCTGAAAGAGGTGTTGACAGACTGAAGAAAATAGGAGCCACTGGACTGTTCTGAATTAGAGGTTTGCTCCTAAAACTGGAAACATTTGGAGTTATGAAGGACCTCTCCTCGGTAGGACTGAACACTAAAGGGAGCCTGTAGGCAGCCTGAAATGCTGCCTACATGACCACCTGGATCCACCTATTGAGTGGAAATGGGAGAAATAAAGAGAGACAGGATGCCAGCTAACCACTCTGCGACCTGCCAGAGCCTTAGAGATGTGTCTACCACCATCGGATCCATAAAACCCTGCACCCACCAGCTAGTGATAGACCTGCATTCAGGCATTATTGCTTGTGATTGCGAGTCTGAAGAAGAATTTAAGAACTAGTAACAGACTTATGGATTTAAGTTGGGCTGGGCTGGAATCTTTTGTGATATATAATTATTTCTTGATACAAAGCTGTCTTACACATATATGAGTGTCTCTGGATTTGTTTCTCTGGTCAACCCAAATAATATTGGATAATTTTTGTGTCTGGGATAGCTGCTCATGCTATCACTGGAGCCTTCTAGTTGCCTTGTGATTGAACTCAAATGTACTGTTTTCGGCTGGGTCCTCTGAACCACGATGGCATAGTGGGTTCTGTGTTGGGTTACTAACATCAAAGTTAGTGATTTAAACCTACCAGACACTCCTTCAGGGAAAAGAAAAAGTTTTCTGCTCCAGTAAAAGTTTCTCACTCACTGCCATTGGTTCTATTCTGTGTCACAGTGACCCTACAGGACAAGATAGAACTGCCCCTGTGGGTTTCCAAGACTGTTAGCTCTTCATTAGAGTAGAAAACCTGTTCTTTCTCCACACAGCAGCTGGTAGTTTTGAACTGCTGACCCTGAGATTAGCAGCCCAATGCATAGCCTTCATTGTACTCTCTAATCAGATATATTATAGCAGTACAATATATCAATGTTACATTTGATTGTATCCCAAAAGAGTTTGGATCTCTTCAAAATACCCCTGTTAGAGCCAGAAGAGTTAACATAGTCAATGAAAAATTGTAAATCTGAAGAGACTCTGAAATTTACTCTTAAACCCAGAATAGCCAAAGTGAAAGGGAGAACAGATGAAGTAAAAGAAGATTTCAAAGGGAAGGTTGAGAAGACAAAGTATTATAATGAAATGTGCAAAGTCCTGGATTCGAAGTGCACACTCTCACTCAGCATTTCACAAACTGAAAGAACTGGAGGGAAAAAAGTCAAGCCTCAAGTTTCAATACTGAAGGATTCATTGGACCACACAGGAAGCAAATGAAGAAGATGGAAGGGATGTACAAGTCACAGTACCAAAAGGAATTGGTGGATGTTCAAACATTTCAGAAAATAACATATGATCAAGCATGCATGTTAAGAGAGGGAAGAAGTTCAAGTGGCAATGAAGATACTGAAGAAAAATGAGGTCCCAGGAAATGGTAGAATACTAACTGAGATGTTTCAATAAACGTCTGGGAAGAAATTTAGAAGATAGCTATACCTAGCCAGTCAACTAAACGAGACCCATGTTTGTGTCCATTTCAAAGAAAGATGATCCACAGAATGCTGAAATGATTGAACAGTATCATTAATGTCACATGCACATAAAATTGTGTTGACCACCATTTTAAAACAATTGCAATAGCAAATTAATAAGAAACTGCCAGAAATGTAAGGCCAATTCAGAAGATGAAGAAAGAAGGATATCATTGCTGATATCCAGATGGATGTGAGCTGAAAGCATAAATTATCAGAGAAATGTTTACTTGTGTTTTATTGACTAGACTGACATATTTAATTGTGTGAATTATAGTAAACTGTAGACAGCATTGTGAAGAATAAGAACTCCAGAATACTTAATTGTGCTCAAATAAAGCCTGAACATAAACCAAGAGGCAGTAGACAGAACCAAAGGATACTGTCTGGTTTAAAACCAGGAAAGGTGCATGTCAGGTTCTCTTCTTTTACCATATGTGTGCTATTCGAATAATCCAAGAAGTTGAACTATCTGAAAAACACAACATCAGGCCTAAAGGAAGACTCATTCATCGTCTTTAACAACTTGTGATATGCAGAAAGTACAACCTTGCCTGCTCAAAGCGAAGAGGACTTGAAGCACTTACTGAAGCTCAAAGACTGCAGTCTTTAGTAGGGCTTGCGCCTCCATATAAAGGAAATAAAAGTCTGACACCTGGATGAACCCCCATGGGCCAGAGGCCAGGGATGGGAGAAGCAGTGCTATCGGTCAGTGTGCATTGGAAAGTGGATTATTACGGACGCAGTTCAGTTCAAAGTTAATCTCACATTTGATCTCCCTTTGGACCCATTTAAATTTGTTCTCGTTTTTCATAGTTTCTGCTTTCTTTTCAGTTAAGGTTTTTCTCTGACTTACTGTGTTACTGTTGTTAGTTTTCTGTTTGGGGGTTTGTGTTTTTTTGCTGTGGTTTTCTGTAGATGGAATCCAGGAGAGGTAAATCTATAGAGAAAATAGCTGGATTAGTCATTTCTTGCAGGTGTAGCAGGGGAGGTTGGGGGGCAATGGAAAGCTAACAACAGGAAAGAAGAGAATGCTCTACAACAGACTCTGGGGAAATTTGTACAACTCTTTTTAATACGATTGAATGACTGAAGTGTATGATACGTGCATTACATGTCAATAAAACTGTTAATAAAAAAGGACCGCACAATCAATAAATAATGAAAATTCTATAGGGTTGCCATAAGTCAGACTCAACTCTAAAGAAAAAAAAAAAGAAAAAGAAAAATTGTAAATATCTAATATTACCCATTCCACTCACACATAAATTCATTTGTATCCTCTTATTTTTATCAAAGTAAAAAGAATGCATTTGTCAAGTGATAAACTGCATAATATATATCTAATATCCATATTAATCTGCTCTATTAATGACAGATTTTATAGTACAGCAGATGTTCACAACAAAAACAATGTCACTGAATTCAGTGTAAAATGTCACTTTACATCTATTGAAATTACGGATGTTTTGTTTCATGTATATGCACACCACATTAAAAATGAACAAAGTTAAAGGGTATTATGACAGATTGACATATTGAATAATATTTGTTTATTAATTGAAGATCTGGAAATGCTGTTGGGTGAGCATTGGACTGCTAGCTGCAAGCTCAACTGCTCAAGCCCACCGACCATTCTTCAAAAGGAAAATGAATCTGGTCCTCTTAAGAGTAACTTGGAAATCTTATGTAAGTTTGGAATTACGAATGAGTTGGAATTGAATAAATGGAAGAAGTCCTAGTATATTAATGAATTCATCCTATCAATGTTAATAATCTAGGAATGTTATTGTAGTTATGTATAAAGCTAAGTAAAAGGTATAGATATATTTTGTGAACTATTTTTCAGTACAATATAGAAGAAGTTTAAATACAATAAAGTAAGCATAAAAACCATAATATTTTGGTACCATATTAGAAAGTATAGAAGAAAAAAAGAAAACCTCAAGGTTATAGTTAATCTATTATTGCTTTTACTAATTTAATTTATTACTTATTTTATATATTATTTATAGTAAGTTTATTATTATTGCCATTTGCACACAAGTTTCTATTCTGCAAGTATTTCTTGACTTTCCAGTATATCATATATTCTGAATATATAAAAAAGGAAACCAAGGAAAGATTATCTAAACTAAAATTTTTTGTTGCTTTACTGTGGTGCAAGGATTAAATAATCTCAGAAAATGTTTCTAGGAACATAAGTTATTAATATAAATATACATTACTTTTATTCTTGGGAGCCTTGGTGGTGCAGTGGTTACCTGGTGGGCTACTAACCTCAAGGAGACCAGTGATAACCCATCAACTGCCCAATGGGACAGAGAGGGGACTTTCTATTCCTGTAAAGAGTTACAGTCCAGGTAACTCACAGGGGCAGTTCTACCCTGAGCTATAGGATCACTATGAGTCAGCATTTATTTGATGGCAGTGAGGTGTTGTTTTTTTTTAAATCCATGATATACTTCACTTGATAAGTAAATCAATGGCTAAAATATTTCATCTAACCTAATGTGAAGAGTTTTCCCTTCAGTGATAAGGAAATATTCACAATGAGAATTATAATCTGTTTTTAAAAATATTTGCTGTCATGTTAGATTGCAATAAATAAAATTTTTAACACAGAACACATCCTACAAATTCATTATCCTGACATATGTACATATTATTTATCTAATCACCTTCTGTTAATGTTTACTTTGAAAATGAAAGATAAAGTTATAATTACTCTTTTCAATATTAAATTCACTGGGCTGATAAAGTCTCTTAGCAGCAAATAGGATGAGCTACAGATTTGCCACTCTGAAAAGAGAACAAGAATGATAATAGAAAAGGGGATTAAAAAAGAAAAATAAAGAACGGATAAGGTTCAGAGTTACACTGATCACACAGTTTATAGTGATGACATTTCATTAAGTCTGACTGCTTATATGAGTAAAACTATTGATAAGAATGAGAATGGTTTTAATGTACTTGACACTCCTGTGTTTCTGTAAGCAAGCCATGATGTTACATTTGCCATAGATGATTTATGTAACTCAATGCATCTGTCCAGATTAGGAATAAAACAGGACTAAAAGGGATATGAAATAATAAAAATAGTGAATACACACTATTAGATATTTATGAAACATGGCAGATAAGAAGGCAAAGAATTTGACAAGAATACCCATAATGGAAATGATAAAAAAACAAATCTCTTAAAGCATACATAAAACAATTGGTAGAATCAGCATTGTTGTAAAGTCTCATGAAAAACACCAGTAAAATTTTTAGGTACTGGAATATATTTACATAATCACTACTTGCAGCTAGAATGTATTTCTCCTCTGGATTTTATTCAACACTTTCCTCAGGGCTACTTTGACATCCTTGTTCCTCAAGCTGTAGATCAAAGGATTAAGCATGGGACCCACGTTAGTATAGAAAATAGATGAAACTTTCCCTTCATCCTGAGAGTCAGGAGAAGTATATTTAAGATACATGAATGCTGCTGACCAAAAAAAGAGAGAGATAGCAATTATGTGAGAGCTGCAAGTGCTGAAGGCCTTTGATCTTCCTTGAGTAGACTTGATATGAAGAATATTAGTTAGAATGAAAATATAAGAAATGAGGATGGTAAAACATGGTACTGTAATATTGATACCAACCACAATAATAACTACTAAAACATTGACATAGGTACTGGTACAAGAGAGTTGGAGGAGAGGGAGAATGTCACACAAGTAATGGTTGATGATATTAAAGTTACAGAAGGTTAGTCGAAGCATGCAACCTGTGTGGGCAGTGGCTCCTCCAAATCCCATTGCATATGCAGCAAATGTCAGTGCAGCACAGACCTGATGAGACATGGTGATCTTATACATCAGTGGACTACAAATGGCCACATAGCGATCATAGGCCATTGAGGTCAACATATAGCATTCAGAGATGACAAAAAAGAGAAAGAAAAAAAGTTGAGTCATGCACCCAACATAGGAGATGATATTCTTCTCTGATACAAAATTCATCAGCATTTTAGGGGAGAATACAGAAGAGTAACAGAGATCAATGAAGGAGAGATTGGAGAGAAAATAGTACATGGGGGTGTGAAGGTGAGGATTTAGACCAATAAGAATGATCAAGCCAAGATTTCCCACCACAGTGACAATATATATCATTAGAAACAAGTAAAAGAGAGGTTTCTGGAGCTCTGGACGATCTGTTAATCCAGCAAGAATAAATTCAGTCACTAAGGAATCATTCTTAGTCAGCATTTTCATTTTTGGAGATCTGCAGGATATAAGAAAACTCCATTAGTAGGATAGCCTTACAAATGCTCACTGTCATTACAAAGGGATGACAATTGGCAAGATCCAAGTAAGTCTTCTTTTATTGTGAGGACCCTAATGTACTGCCACACAGATCCCTCACATACCCTTTATTTTTGGTTCATATGAGTTAATGTGTGATCAAGATGAAAGGATGGAGTAACTGAGGTACAAGTCTTCCTGTTTATGAGTGAGGAGAAAGTTTCTTCCAAATGACCATCTCATTAATCTTGCCCTTTCTTTAGAAGTTCCAACTCATATTTGCATTACCATACCAAACATCTCAGTTCCTTTGTGATGGCTATCACTGAAGAGAGGACTTCATGAAAGACAAGAGTTTATTGACATTCTCCTTTTTAAAAAGGATTCCTTCACTGTCTGTAGGATATGCACATTTATTTCTACAAGAATCCTTGATGTCAACAACTGGTGCCACGCATTTAGAATATGCTTAGTAGCCTGATATTTATCATCAACACATTTCCCTCCTTTGTTCCATCTCAGGTAGACAGACAATGAAGGAAGGGATGTGAATGTGTTTTCTCAGACTTCTGTATGAGGACATGAAAGATAAATGTAATTAATTTGGGTGCTGGTTGCATAAAGGGTCAAATTTGCTAAAATGAATACCAAGTTTACACATATATAACTTCTTCTCCATTTATTTTGAAATTTAATAAGACAAGGAAAGAGCCAAAACTCTTCTTTTTCTGGTATTGCTTTGTGTTGGATGTGTCATTTGGAACCACTACTGCTGTTCTACTTACTACTAGAGCTATGATGGAATAAACATAAACAGAACAAGTTAAAAAATAGAGCTGCATGATTATGGTATTTCTATACAATGTATCTCCTTTTTCAGAAACAAAGAGATAAAGATCAATAAAAATTTGAATAACTCACCCTTTCTCAACTAAAGGACATCAGTACTGACCTTTATGTCCGTTTCACCTTGAAGAGCCAGAGGAAGAACTGGCTTTGGAGCTACCAAAGTTGACCAGATGTAGTCACAGAACCTTCTTCCCACATAACTGGTAAAAGGATCATAGCACAGGTGTCACAACCTGAATATTCTAAGAGTCATTGTGAGATATAAATCAAAGATCTAGGTATGAATTTCAAAATAGGATGTGTATAGATAAACCACAGGCTTGACACCAGAACAACCATGTCACAAAGTACATGACATTTACCTCCTAGGGCTTATAATTCTTCTCACCTGATTAGAGATCCAGAAATAAAACTCCCATAGGACCTTTACCCCATAACGAGTGCTACAGGGAAAATAATGGTGTTTATATTTAGTGTTAAAATTGTGGTAGTCAGTGTTAATTTCCCACAAGAGATTATATAATCCTGAAGGCATAGGATAAAGGAGTCTCTGCTATCCTAGTGAAGAATGTGAATATAATTAATGTCATGGACTATTTCACATTGTTAGCATTGGCCATTTTTGAAAAAAATTGATGTATGGTACAGTTCTTTTATATTGTTCTTTTTAAAGTACTTTAATTATCAATGTTATTTCTACATATGAATAGACATAAAGCAAAATGATACTTTTCACTGATTAGTGAAATATTTCTTTTCTTAAAGCAAAATGATAGTTTTCACTGAGTAGAGGCTATTATTCTCCAATATTAGGAAGAGTATTGGGTAATTTGAATGGTTTGCATTCAGCATAATTTGTAAAACTCATTTACCAAGAATTACTATTGGTTAGAATATTGGCAGCCTTGGTGATCACAGCCAATATTGTAATGTGTAACCACTACTCCACTAGGGCCCCATGATATCAATGATATTGTTCTAGAGTTGCACATTCTGTTGGGTCACCTTTCTTTGGAGTAGGAAAAATATAGATCTCTTCTAGTCAGTTGGCCAGGCAGGTGTCCTGTTTTATCCCTCATCCTGGCTTTTGATGTTTGCTTCTGCCTTTCCTTGGTTAGGTTTGCCAGCGCTCTGTCAATTCTGCTGTTCCTTTCAAAGAACCAGCTTTTTGATGCATTAATCTTTTGCATCCTTCTTTTGCCTTCCCATTGGTTTAACTCTGCCCTGATTTTTATTATTTCTTTTCTTTTGCTATTGGAGGGGTTGTTCTGTTGAGTCTGTTCTAGTTGCTGGAGGTTTTGTGATAATGTTTCAGTCATAAGCCTCTCTTCTTTTTCATATATGCATTTATTGATAGCAAGCTTCCTCTGATAACTGCTTTCTCAGTATCCCATAAGTTTTGATATGTTGTATTCTCGTTCTCATTAGTTTCTAGAAACTTCCCAACCTCCTTTCTAATCCCCAATCATGTTGCAGAAGATCGTTATTATCTTCTAATTGTTTGCTCTTGCTTTTCTGACCATCCTTTTGTTAATCTCGAGCTTTATGGCATGGTGATCCGAGAAAGATGTCTGGTAATCTCTATGTGTTTGAATTTACTCAACTCGACTTGTGTCCCAGTATGTGGTATATTCTCAAAAATGAGTCATGTGGCCTTGAGAAAAATGTGAATTTTTTGTGTTTGGATGGAAAGCTCTATAAAAGTCTATCAGGTCCAGTTGCCTAATTGTATTGTTTAGTTCTATAGCCTCTTTGCTGAGCTTCTTTCCCATTGGTCTATCTTTCTCTGATAGTGGTGTATTAAAGTCCCCTACTATTATTATTGATTCTGTGATCTCTTTTTTCATCTTTTTAATAGTTTGACGAATTTTGGCGATCCATTTTTAGGAGTGTAAATATTCAATATGATTACTGTTTCCTGGTTTACTGATCCTTTGAACATTATATAGTGTCCCTCCTTGTCTCTTTTTATGGTTTGAATCTTGAACTCAATTTGACAGAGATTAGGATTGCCACCCCTGCTTTATTTAAGTTGCCATTTGCCTGGTATACTTTGTGCCTGCCTTTTATTCTTAGTTTATTTTTGTCTGTGCACTTAAGATGTGTTTCTTACAGGCAACAGATTGTTGGCTAGTTCTGAGCTAGTTCTCAAGACTTTTTCTTTTAATGTAAGAATTGAGGCCCTTGGAATTCAGAGTTGTTTTCATGATCTGTGAATCCATTGTCATCTTGTGCTTTGTGTTTTGGGTGTTTTCCTAATCTCCCTTCGTATCAGTGTGCTATGTTTGTATGTGGAGCTTCACTCTTGCCTCTAAGGCCCTGTTATCTTGATACTTGTTGGCACGTTGCTTCTGGATGGATTTGGGCTACATGGTGGTCTCCTGCTTGTGCTCAGTGGATGTTGAGCTTCTGACCATAGTGAGTCGGCCAGTATCTTCTGCAGGTTTAAATGTCTTACAGCATATTATTGTAGTTTTTTCTTGTCCTTGAAGACTCTTATCTTCCCATCTATCTTAATGGATAATTTGTCAGGATAAAGGATTCTTGGGCAGGCGTTTTTTTTCCTTTAGTTTTTGGAAGATGTTGCTCCACTCTGTCCTCCTCTTCATGGTTTCTGCTGATTTGTCTGAGCATATTCTTACCTGAACTGCCTTGTATGTTACCATCTTCCCTTCTTTTGCTGCTCTTAAAATTTTCTCTTTTTCCTCAAAGTTGCATAGTTTCACTATTATATGTTTTGGTGAGTTCTTCTTGGGGTTTAGTCTTGTTGGTGTCCTTTCTGCTTCCTGTATGAGTGTTTGATGCTCATTCATTAAGGTAGGGAAGTTTGTTTCCAGAATTTCCTTCACTATTTTTGCTGTAGACTTGATTGCAGTGTCCTGCTCAGGTAGACCAAGTATTCAAATATAGTTCCTCTTCATAACATGTCATTGATCTCAGGTTATCTTCCACCTCTTTTATTTTTCGATTTGACTGTCTTTCTGGTTTGCTGAGGTCTGTCTGAGTGTCTTAAAGATTACTGATATGGTTCTCTCCCTCCTCAAGTCTATTAATAAATTCTGTGATCTTGTGTGTGGCTTCTGCTACCTCATCCATTAGCACCTTTATTTCCCTTTGGTGCGTGGACTTTATCCCCTCTCATGGAGTTCATCCCCTGAATTGTGGATTTCTTCTCCTCTATCCTTACATCCTTATTCTGCATGGCTTCCCTCAACTCTTGCATTACTCCAAACAGCTCTCTGAAAGTTACTTTTTTGTGGTAGAACACGTCTGATTCTTCTATGAGAGTCTTTAACTCTGCTATTGTGTTTTGTCTCTCTGTTGTTTGTTTTTTTTGTTGAGAGTGATTCAGTTTGCTGATGATTCCTTAAACCCTTTGTGGGGGTAGGCGTCATGTTTCTGGGACACCAGGGGGGCCTGGGCTTTTTCTCTGTGTTACTGAAATGGTGCAGGCAGCTGTGCTTTAAATTTTTTCCCATAGAAGAATGAATGCTTCAGCAGCTTGAAACATTTCAATTGGCGTTCCACCAATTTCCTAATTCCTTTAGTGCAGCTTGGACTTCTTCAGTATTGTTGGTTCTTGATCAAATGCTACTTCTTGAAATGGTTGAATGTCAACTAGGTCTATTTGGCACAGTAACCATGTATTCTTTTCATCTTCTTTTGATACTTCCTGAATCATTCAATATTTCCTCCCAGAATCTTTCAATATTGCAACTTCAGGCTTGAATTTTTTCTTGAGTTTTTCAATTTAAGATATGCTGAATATATAGTTTCTTTTGGGTTTTCTAACTCTACGACTTTGTACATTTTTTTCTTATGGTATTGTGTTAGTCTAGGTGTTGTAGAGAAACAAATTCATGGACACTCATATGTGTAATAGAGAACTTTATATCAAAGAGCAATTGTACATGAAGAAAACATCCCAGTCCAGTCAAGGTCAAGTCTATAAATCTGATATCAGCCCATATGTCTGATACCAGTCTATGAATTCCTCCTTAGTCTCATGCAACACATGCAATGATGTCAAATGCAGGAAGATTGCAGGCCAGTACATGGAAAGTCTTATGGATCCCGTGGCAGTAGAAGCATTTGAGCAATGGTATGGTCTCTACGTGGCT